GCCTTGAGGCATGGAACATATGTACCAAATATGCCAAAGATGTCTACAAAATTATCTCAGTTATTATTAAAAAACTGATTATTTTTGAAAACTTTGCCACCCTGTATCTCAAAAGTTAAGGCGTTTAGGACATACGTCCATAGGAAGTTTTTTTCTTGAAATGGGTCTAAGAATTACCTCCTCAAATATTAGCATGTGTTTAAGGAACACCCTGTATAATGTCTGACGTAGGGAAGGACAAGCACTGGTTGTGACGGCTTCTTTTCCTTGCAAGGCTCTTGCTGTATTTTAGCCAAAGTCTGTACCACCACCGCCTTGGAGTAGCCATTCAGTTGAAGATCATTTTTTCGATTCTCTAGACTTTCTTTCGTATTACAAAGTCCGAAAGCACGGTCTAATAGTGTTTTGATGAATCTACTTTTAGTCGATTGATGGTGGTTGGATTCGTGGTTTGGATACCGTCCTGTGTTAGTGGGTTTTTGGAATATAGATGTTTCTCACTTAGTGTCGGTCCTCTTCACCAATACATCTAAGAACGGCAATTTGTTGTGGACATCCTTCTCCGTTGTGAAAGTAATGGAAGGTCTCACGCTGTTGATGTGTCTCAGGAAGGCGCCTAGTTCAGTGTTCTATGGTTTCATATTATATTAGTAAAAAAATATTCCACGTGGGAATCAGGAGAACAGTTTTAGAATGGTTTGAAAGGATAGTAAAAGCTTTACACAATGTATTACAAGTGGTGTTCCCCAGGGTTCCATATTGAGTTCAACACTTTCCTAGTTTATTTAAAGCCAGCGTCAAATTCAAAACTGAAGGGACAGGTGAAATTTTTTGGTGATACAAGCTCATTTAATTAATTGTAGTTTTCAAGTGACTCTACAAAAATGTGACGGACTTGTGTCGGGCGACCTTATAGGCTACTTCTCCAACCATAGAAAGCGGATGAAATGACAACTGATTCCCATTGAAACGGTCACTATGTTCGATGTTTTTCAGTGTTATTCTAAATGTAAATAATGTCAATAAATTCGATGTTTTGATTAGGAATCATTTTGTTTTGCCTAATAAGGCGAACTCAATATTGTCATTTCCTGATTTCGTTATGAAATGATTCGAAATTATATGATACTGTTTATTAGATGAATCGTCTACATTAAGGAATGGGTTGGAAGATTTCAATCTATATATGACTACGTAAATATTGTTCGCATGATAAAAAAATGCTGCTATCAAGTAATACATTAAGTCAAATATCTTCATGAAATCCATTTTCAGTGGGTGGGATAACAAAACCATATGCCAAAGAAGTTTTCTGACTCATACTCCTCGATTTTCGCCTCTCTCCAGACTTGGATTTGGAAATAAACGGTGACCTTGCCTTTGAAATTCGGATGGAAGGAGATTTTGACTTTGATTTGGACTTTGTTTTTTTCTTTTCGCTTTGCGTGTCCTCTAGGTCCTGTGATTGTGATTTAGAATTTTCGGTTATGCTTCTAGCTACATTGGGTTTTTCATTGCTATTGAAGTCCAAGTAAGACTTCAGTTCCATCATTAAAACTGTCTTGAAGGGGATTCTTGATTTTCTACTAGCTTTGATGATATAGCATATTTGTTCGAATATGACCAGAACAAAAGCAAAAATTGTTCCATAAATGGTGACGAAAAAACATCCTTCGACGTTTCGTAGTCCAAGAGGATCAGCATCGGAAGATTCAACCACTCCCTTTAAGAAAGAAATGCAGTTATTTATATTTTTCACAGAAAGAAAAAGGTGAGAGGAATAGAAAAACAGTTATAATTCCTGGCTTTAAAGAGATCAGTTTTTGTGAAAAATGGGTTTTCTACTTCTTCATCGTTAAAGAGTTCCACCCGTTTGAAATGGGCGCACCATTATACTGAACTTCGATCATTTCTCAATGTTGAGCCTAACCTAACCTGAGAAAATATAAGTAATTTTTTTGAGTATATGTGGCAAAATTGAACTGAAAATCAACAAAAGGATGGTATTAATACAACTGGATTTCCACATTAGATTAGCGATTAGTTCGAAAATGTTGATATTGAAAACTATGAAACCTTTTTGGATGAAATGCTGTTTAAAAATTTACATAACTTGAGAAAACCACATTTTCATATTCACTGAAACGGTTGAAATGGTTATCAAGGTTTGAGATTTGGAAGTAGAAGCTGGATTAGAATCGATTTGGATGATTGAAGACATCTTTAGGTATGTATTTTTTAAAACTCATAACTCACTCCACAAGCACCCCCTCCCCTCCTTTCTTCCCACCACTTCGTCTTCAATTCATCCAAAAAGTGGGACATCTGTAGTTCCAATATTGCCAAACTCAGCCTTTTTCTATAAGGAGAATCTGAAATTTATAGAAAAAAAATCTAATACAACTGGTGAAGCTAAACATTCTGTAATTTTGAACACTCATAGGAAAACATACTTTTTCTCATTGCTATGCCATATCCTTTCTCGTCTAACAATCCTCCATATTGCTTCAGTGAACAATGTCTCTGAGTGGTATATTCAATAGAAGTTGATTCCATAAAAAATGCATAATGCTCGTCTTCTCTTTCTGCTCTTAGCACACCTTCATCATTTTCTTTGACATTTTCTGGATGTTCGACCATGTGTTGACCAATTTTGTGAAGTGTTGTTCCTTCTTCAGCATCCTATGAATACACAAGAAATTTTGTTTTATCAGTTGAATAATACCTACCTTAGAAGGGAAAATACCTCATCAACTGGAAATAATTTTGATATAAAATTGACTTTCGAGTTGATTGGTCATTTTACATTATCAAATGTTACAAAAAATGATGTTCCACAGTGATGTGGGGGTTGAGCAAACCGGCCATCGGATGCCTGCTTCCACGTAGCCCCGCTGGATACGGGAAGGAAAGAATCACTTGTGGTTCTGTTATGCCCTAACTGAATGGCATCCAAACGATGGCCTAATCCTAAGGTGTGTGTATATGTGCCGAGAGTATAAACGACACTGAGCCTATCAGCTGTCACTACGGAACCTTCGAGATACCGGGCGCCCTCTCGTCGTAGCATCGCTTTGTCCCGGTAATGCAGGGCTCTGCCGTGATTGACCTTCTTTCCCTACTTATTCGTGCAACTTTTATGGCGCTGAGTCTACAGAAGAGATGGATTTCGAGCATATGACTCCAACTGACCTCCCTGTAAACATAAACAAAAGGTTTGGTGTTGAAGCCAGGAAACGACTGAGTCGTCTCCTCAAGAGCGGGGTACCTTATGGAACCGCCATGCAGCAAATTCTTGAGCAGCGTACGCAGAATCTGTCTCAGGTGGGGAACAAACCCCCCATGAGCAGGTAAGCAAACGTTTGCGCTCAGGTGATGATTCACCAACACCAGAGGTGAAAAAGCCCTGCATAGGTGAATTTAAGGCATCGTCAGGTGTAGCTGACGTACAAAAACCCTCATATGGTGAGGTTTTCGCGGGTATCAAGGTGGGAATCTTGCACCTAGAGTATCCGACTACCTCAATAAAAATGAAACAGCAGAGCATTTCCTTTGTGCCTGCCCCGCTGGGGGCCGAATCAGGTTTTTAGAGTTCGGCAGAGCCGCACTACTACCATCTGACGTGAAAGAGCACTCAGCATACAAACTAATCGGCTTCGTTAAGAAGCTGGGTTCATTTGGTCGAGTGTGAAAAGGTGTGAGCCACAATAAACCCTTGCGATTTGCGGTGGATCAACTCACTTTAGACCTAACCTTACCTAATCTAACCTAATCACTGGATGCTATCGAAAAAAACATTTTTTTTGCTTCTTTTAGAGGTTGATTGGAGAAAGGATAATAAAAAAGGTGTAAAAAATCGAAAAAACAACTAAATACAAGAAAGGTTCCTTGAATTTGACATTTATATCCAGGAAGAACCGTTCTTTGCGAAGTTCCACAAGGAACAGTTCTAGGGCCAATCCTCTTCTCGTGATTTATATGAACAGCTTACTCACCTTGCAAAAATGTGGAAATATCATCAGCTATGCTGACGATACGGCTATTTTTTATAGCGCAGATTCTTGGGACAACTTGAAACATATCGTTGAAGAAGATTTCAGCCACCTGATAGATTGGTTCAATCACAAACTACTCACTATCAATTTAAAAAAATCTATGTTCCAACCGCTGAGCTCTTATGCTTCCAACTTGCCCAATAATGTAAAGTTATCTTTCAACAATCACGGAACTACTTTTGAAATTAGCGCAACCAAACAAATCAAATACCTTGGTGTCACTGTTGACAGACACTTAAGATGGAATATACATGTCGACAACGTAATAGCAGGGGAGCCCACGATGCAAAATGGGGATTTACTCGAGCGTCATTGAGACATATTAGGTTGCAAAGCTTAGATGATAAGAAGAAAAAAATGTTATATAATATATACCTTTTCATCGGTGAAGAAGGCGACTATAGATTTTTAAATATGTAAAAAAATACTGTTGCTTGGACATACTCGAGCGCGTCTGATATTGATAGCATCAATGTCCTACGTAATTTTAATAATGTTCGTATGTTAATCTGATCGTTTGCATGATGTGAGTGGTTGTACGTAAGGGTTAAAAGTGAAAAGAAAACAAAATTAATCGAGCGCGTCAGATTTCCTAAGGGGGTGTTAAGTGCGATAAAAAAAAGCTGTCATTCATTAATCTGACGCAAACTCGCGGCCATTATTATAATGTGCAAAGAAAATTCGCCATTTTGAAATACTCAAACGCGTCAGATTAAGATATATATGTTTCATCTTTATGTTTTAGACTTGATGATCAATTTTTTTTTCTAATCTGATCCTTTATCCCTCACAGGCGGCCTTATATATGGGGTTCATATTTGGTGGAGGTACTTAACCGGGTAAAAGGTATCCCTCTGTATATTAATCCGCCGCGCTTTAGTAAATCCCGAAATCCCCGCTTGGGCTCCCTCATCATAACAAATTCCCTCAGAAAATTATGGGGATATACATTCAGAGTATTAACAAAGGTGTTTGATATTCCTGAATTGATCACAACTTATTATGCGATCGTTGAATCTAGGCTCTCGTATGGCATAATAGGCTGGGGAGGTGTAGCTAGCACACATTTAAATAAATTACAAACTTTTCAAAATATGTTGATCAAAATAATAAAGATCGACATTACTCCACAAATCTCTAATACGATGAAACAAAATTTTTTGATATCAGATAGCTATTCTTTCATAAAATTTTGATGCATCAATACAAAAATAAAGATAGTCTAATTTTAGGATCGCATTCCTATCATACAAGAGCAAACGTAAAAAAATTATTGCTAATATTCATTATACTTTTATATACATTATATACTAACCACACTTTGAACATTGTAGACTTTTCCACTAATAGTTATCAGGTTAATCTCACTTAGTCGAGAAACCGCACTTAATAACTTTAGGATGAGTGAATAAAATCAACAATAATCCCTACGGGCAAGATTACCTTTTGTAGGGTTCTTGTTTATTTCTTTATTCTTCGTAAATTTCCAATGTAACCATTGCTTTTCATGAAATAATCTGATTGATTGATTATGTCTATATTTACTCTTTTGAAATATATTATGTATTATTATCATTATGAAACACCAACAGGAGACTTCCACTATGAATGATTGATGAATTTGCGAAAACACAAGAAATCAATATTTTGCAGTTATATTTTTTGAACTAATCTTAAGAACCAATGCTTTGCTGACTATACTCAGTCGTGACCGTTGCAGTACTTACTATGAAAAATCGTAACGTAGCACCATTTTCCTTGGCTCCATATTTGATTTTATGCTGGTTTTCATAAAGACTTTGCAGGTCTTTGAATAATTCAACGGGGTTCTCAGTGGCTAGAAAAGCAGCTAAGTTGGCTGTATAGGATGCAGTAATGATGAGGCAAAAGTACCACCACATGCCGGCGGCCATTCTCGTTGATATTGCTCTTGGGAGAAAAAAGTATTGGATAATGCATGGCAATGAACCTTGTGTTAAACATTGAAATAATATATCTTTTTTCTGGCATCTCAATCAAATAATTCAAAATGAAATGAACAAGTCAGTTGCAGTAATTCTGTAGATTTGCTTTAATGATAATGAATTGTCTTTCTCTACCGCAAATTAAGCTGAGAAAAAAAGTTTGAAAACAATTGGAAACTCATACGTTTGGCGGTTATATGGCGGTGAATATTGCAAAATCTCTTCTACTGACTGTTGATGAGTGCCTTCAAAAATGAGTAATGTTACTACTATTCTTCAGTTATTGATATAGCTGAATATCATATATACTTTTGAATTGAAAAGGGTTTATTTTCAGGACAGAATGATTTTTTTGGGAAAGAAAGGTTTTGACTTTCTACTTCTTCATCTTGATAAAAAAAATGCAAATCCTACACATAAAGGAAAGAAGCAATCGATTTTAAAGAATTATCTCTATATGGAGATGTGTGGATCATGCAAAGAAGTAACTTTCAGACACAAACTGAAAGAAAAAGCCCTATACAAAAACTACTTCTTTCTATTCAGTTTGTATTCCAAACATTCGTTATGGAATTGAATCTGATATTATCCACAGAATTCCTGCATGATATAGTAAATGAAAGAGGAGGTGAAATTTCATTTACATGAAACACTGTCATCTCCACTGGTAAATATCCGATGTTTCACTTGCCATATCAACTCTTCATTACCAAATCCGAATAACGTTACAAAAAAACACACAATTGATGTACTAACTTCGCTATTAGATAAAATTGAATAGTTGATTGATGAATTGGACAGATTATTGGTGATTTTTCATTACGATGAGAAGGTCATCAATGATACGGTGACAGTGTTCCATGTAAGTGCAATTTATTACCATTCATTCAAAGTAGAACTCATGTGAATGATATCTGATTCTTATTCCACAACGAATGTTTGAAATACAAACTGAGTAGAGAAAAGTATCTTCTGTATAATTCAGTGTTCATACAGAAGTATTTGTTTCGAAAGAATTTTTTTTCTTTCGTGTAATTCAATGTTTATATGAAAGTAGCTGTTTCAGGAGGACTTTCTTTCAGTTTGTGTCTGAAAGTTACTTCTTTGCATGATCTACACATCCATGTATAGAGGTACTTATTTTCAAATTGATTACTTCCTTCTTTTCTTTGGAAGATTCCCTCATCCCTTTTTTTCTATCAAGATGGAGTAGTAGAGAGCTAAAAACTTTCTTTCCCAAAAATTAATCACTCCTAAAAATATAACCCCTTCAAGTCATCAATCAACTTGAACACTTTCTGGTTAGTTTGTATAAAATCCATTGAGAAGAATGTATGATCATGATGAACAATGAAATCGGTCACATATCATAAAATCTAAAGGAATAGTATTCAATTACTTTTTGCCTTAATCAAGGTCGATTGATTATCATTTGTTTTTTTCACATGAATCGAATTGTTCAAGATTTTTCATGGTACTTGAGACAACCTGAATCGGAACTGGAAACTGGAAACTCATATGCTGATTTCTTCATATTATTATTTGATATTTTTTTGAATATGGTTGACTATGTTCCTTGAAGAATGTCAAAGAATCCATCTTTCATTGTCTGGAAACATGTTGACAGATTTGAAAACTATCGAAATTGTACCCTGGTAAATATCAGGAAGCGGGAAGGTTTCCAAAGTGAGAAATTCTCGAGGTGACCATCTTACCCTAATCCTCCATTGTATGCGATTATTGCCCACTCACGGGGTGACTTTTCCCGCTTTCAGCTGTCACACTATCTTGGTCTGGACTATGATGCTGCAAAGATTCATTTTTTTTATTCCATTTCAAAATGAGTGGTTCAAGTCACGAGGAAGATATTATTATGATTTCTTAATATATGGGTATGAATGTTTGTACAGCCAGACTCAGAACGAAACTTTCCTTGAAAGCTTTTGCTGCTGCCAAAGGATTATAAAAGAAGGATACTGAGGTTTTGGTATCTAGTTGTGAAACCAACTTGATAGAAGTCAAGAGATACGAATGAAAACAAGCCTACTGCTAGAAGGTAACCCAATCGTTGCAAGCTACATCTCAATTTTTCTCTTTCTCAACAGATCACACGACTTGAATCTCTCTCTCTTTCTCTCTCACCTAGCGAGTGGAGGACCTCAGTGGTTGCAAGCAAGACGCTTGTTTCTTATCATTCTCAAGGGATCATATGGTTTGAATCTCTCTGGCTTCGAGTTCAGATCCCTCTCACTGGAACAGAAGCCAAAACGTTTCGATTTCGAATCTCTCCCACTTATCTACCTTCTCGCTTCACGAGTGAAACCCAATTCATTCGTAAAGAAAGAGGAACAGAGGTGAGAACGTTGTCATCTTGAATCCCCCTTGTTTCGAAACCCGCTCAGTTGTTGCAAGCAACACGCTTGATTTTCATTATTCTCAAGAGATCACATAGTTCGAATCCCTTTCATTGGAACAGAAGCCAAAACGTTTCGATTTAGAATCTCTCTCATTTCAAAACCTTCTCGCCCCATAAGTGAGACCCAATTCATTTGTATAGGAAAAAACTCGTTTCGAAACCTTCTCGCCTTGTGAGTGGCAGGTCTCAGTTGTTGCAAGCATCGCCTCTCGATTTTTCTCTTTTTCAACAGATCACATGGTTGGAATATCTCTCGTTTCGATACCTACTCGCTCCAAGAGTGAAACTCAATTCATTTATATCAGAAGAGGAACAGAGGCAAGAACGTTACGATTTTGAATCTTTGTCGTTTCGAAACCTTCACGCCTCATTTTCATCTTACTCAATAGATCACAGGCGGGTTGGTTGTCCTTGTTCATCTTCCACTGCCTGAACCACTGTGCATGCTGTTTTTGGCGAGTGCATTGGCTTGGGATGTGGGGGTTGAGCCAACCGGCCATCGGATGCCTGCTTCCACTTAGCTCCGCTGGATACGGGAATGACAGAATCACTAGTGGTTCTTGATCCTAAGGTGTGTATCTGTACCGAGAAGATGTATGACACTGAGCCTATCAGCTGTCTCTACGGGACCTTCGAGGTAACGGGCGCCCTCTCGTTGCAGTAACGCCTTGTCACGGTAATGCAGGGCTCTGCCGTGATTGATCTTCTTTCCCTAGCTACTCGTGAGACTTTTATGGACAGAGTAAACTCAAAAATTCTTTCTGACGCTGAGTCTACAGAGGAGATGGATGTCGAGTTTACGACTCCAACTGACCTCCCTGTAAATTTAGATCAGGAGCGAGTCTACAGAGGAGATGGATGTCGAGTTTACGACTCCAACTGACCTCCCTGTAAATTTAGTTCAGGAGCGAGAGCTTCTCAACTCCCTTCTTCTCCCATGCTTCTGATCCAATAACTGAACCTAAGAAAAAGGTTTGGTGGTACTGCCAGGAAACGACTGAGTTAGCTCCTCAAGAGCGGGGTACCTTATAAAACCGCATTGCACCAAATTCTTGAGCGGCGTGAGGAACAAACCCCCCATGAGCCAGGTTAGCTAACGTTTGCGCTCAAGTGATGATTCACCAAAACCAGAGGCGAAAAAGCCCCGCACGGTTGAATCTAAGGCATCGTCAGGTGTAGCTGACGTGCAAAATCCCTCACATGGGAAAGTTATCGCGGGTATCAAGTTGGAATCTTGCACCTATCCGACTACCTCATTAACGATGAAACAGCAGATCATATACTTTGTGCCTGCCCCGCTGGGGACTGAATCAGGTTTTGAGAGTTCGGCAGAGCCGTACTCTCACCATCTGACCCGAAAGACCACTCACCACCACTAATCACCACTAATCGGCTTCGTTAATGAGCTGGGTTCATTTGGTCGAGTGTGAATAGGTGTGAGCCAAAATAAACCCTTGCGGGTTGCGGTGGAGGGTCGAATAGATCCACTCACTCTGGACCTAATCTGACCTAACCAACAGAAATCATATTTTCATCTGAAATGGAAAGTCGCGAGGGATTAGTGCGTCAATTTGACAAATGATATTGTGGTATTCAGGACAGTTCTATGTGTGTTAATGAAAATGGCCAGTATTATCAAACGTAAATTAATTCTGAAAATAACTCACATAGGCGCAATTTCAGATCCTTGTGCCAGTAAACTACCAGTCGCAAACCAGACCGCATTGTTGAAGCTGAACTGATTGATTAAGTATTCCGGTTCTTCGATACATGGGTAAGGATTTGTCCATTCATCAGCACACAACCTACCCATTAAATATAATAGAAGGGATGTTACAAAAAACGATACTGCTAAAGCGATCCATGTATCGATTCCAAAAGGATCGGCAAATGAAAAAAAACTTGGAGGAGCATTCTTAGGTTTTTTGAAAAGAATACTCACACCTAGAAGAAGAAATCTCAAAAGTGTTTTCGAGGACTCAATTAACGCTTCACATACCTAGATTCATGAATGGCACAGTGAAATCTACAGCCGCTACTCTGTCGGAAGTTATGGTGAAGTCACATATTGCCAGGTCAGCTTTCTGGAACCACCGTTAGGAAGAGTCAGTAACAATAATTCCTGTATACTTACGTGCTCTAAAAGATCACCTATCATCCCGGTCCATTTTTTGGTGGTTTTATTAAAAGCCCCGTTCATCTTGTCTTCTCTGACAACAAAGGTATAATTGAAACCTTCCAGCTCGGACAGTTTATCAATCAAATCTATTGTATAACCTTCAAATCTGTCGTTTCCAGTTTTAGGTTCAGTCGTTTGTTTCAGCATTCCATATGGTTCGGTCTATGAAGAGAAAAAGTTGAGGGAATAACGTTATTACCCAAAAGTGATCACTATAAATATTTTGCACGTGACACTGTTTAGAATCAGATAACCTGAATCAAAACCAAACAAATAAACAGTATTTTTGAGCGTTTATATACCAAAAAGTGGTCTATAAACCTTCACCAAAACCCTCTCTTGTATTTTTATATCACTTTGATATAAAATTAAACCTAGAAAACTTACTGATGAGCTGATATGGTATGAACTGTGATCAAGATAAAAGTCTAGAGCTTTTCTTTGACCTGACAACAAAGCGTTTCTCTTGAACAAATGATATCAACTCGTTATCAATGTGGATAGGCAGAGATTCTTTCATCCCCGATCTTCCATTTCTGGGTCCAAAAACTATAGTCTACTATTTTTTGTAATTGGTTTTCATCAACAACTGTTCATGTGGTTGATACAGTCTTCAGCTGCCTTTAATTCATCGAGCCTAAACGTTTTGTGAAGGTGTGCATCATCAGCATAATAATGGAAAATTCATGGGATGCATTTCACACCTCCAATGAACTCTGGATCCAATTTAGAAAGTATATGCAGCGGTCCATTGTTTTTGTGGCAAATTCCCGAATTTGGCAATGGCAATTTCAATCCCAAATGTGTCAAATAGTTGTCCGATTCTTCCAGGCTTGTTAGTTGTTGTCTCCAGGTTTTTATGTAACGTTTTTGTTTCATCAGGAAGTGAAAACATTATTTGTTGCGTCTTTCTCGAAGAAAAAAAAATTAGAGTAATAAGAAATGAAATTCCAGATGCTCGGCACCCACTGATTTTGAAAACAAAAAAATGTGTACTCACATATTTTGACGTCTAGATTACGAATCCGAAAATAAAAATTTGTGCTTTCCCTCATTTCCAGAGGAACACCCCTCTGAAGTTGCAAAATTTCAAGTTCCTCTTTGCATAATACAAACCAGAGAAAGACGCAATTAGTTAGTTAATGTATCAGGTCCACATTTTATTTTATTAACTTTAATATGTTGGTCGGTCGGTAGCCAAGCGGTTCGGCGTGAGTGCTTTGTTCACTCACTCGAATTGACTGCCGTATTGGTCGGTGGTTCAAGTCCTAGTCTCAACTATCGATCTTCACGTGCTATCGTCCAACCCGTGTTAGGAAGGGGAGAAAGGTAAGGAAGAAAGGTAAGACCTCGTTAATCCTTAGCTCGCACAAGTTTCGACTTCTGAGGGTTGTCGTTCGTAGGGGTGCGACAGCTGGTTAACGGAAAAACAGATTTTA